CAAATGGCAGGATTTCATTCTTGTTTATGGCTTAATAATATTCCATTGTGTATATATACTACAATTTCTTTATCCATTCATCCATCGACAGACACTTAGGTGGTTTCCATGTCTTGGCTATTGTAGATAAATGCTGCTATGGACGTGGGGGGGCACAGACATGTTTTTGAGTTAGTGTTTTGTTTCCTTCAGATATATACCCAGATGTGGGATTACTGGATCATATGGTAGTCCTATTTTCAATTTTTTGAGAACCCTCCATACTATTTTCCATAGTGGCTGCACCAATCTACATTCCCATCAACAGTGCACAAGGCTTCTCATTCACTATTATTCTTTTCCTCATGTCTGCATATGTGCAGATGGGCAGAACTGTACTCAGCCAATTAACATGATAACTGGCTCCAAAGCTACAGCAGGAATTCAGCCAAAACAGACTTATATAACCCAAGGTTAAAATAGGATGTTAAAAACTCCAAAGACAGAGAAAATTAGAATTTATAATCTCTCCCTTCGTCAGTTTAAAATTCCCCATTTTGCAAATGTAAATCACCTACACAGTATTTTAAGCCCTCTTTCTCATTTTGTGCCCCATGGAGATAACCAGGATCTTCACGTGTACCTTTAAGTATATTAATAAAAATCATAAAAATTACCCAAGATTTCATTTGTTTAATCCAACCTTGAAGCGTTTTGGTAGGAAATGCTGCAGTCCTCTCATTTCTGCTTGAAAGCACTGGTGGTGATTTTGTCCTTGAGCAGACACTCAGGCTTCTCTGTGCCCAGCATCACGTGTCCCAATGTCGGCTCAAGTCCGCCCCCTAGAGGACAGTAGCCAGGGTGCCTTGACTGTAATGCTGAACTCCACGAAGTTCATAATTCTGACACTGGGCTTTTCCGGAGGACTGCCCCTTTCTGTTTTATATGACTCTGCATTATTTGAAAGTATGTCAGATCTTTCTTTTACAAGTAAAAAAAAGTTTTCATTTTAGGGGAAACTATTAACCGCGAATACAATTTTTCATTCCAAGAGAATAATACATGACAGAGTCTTGCCTGAAATAGGCAGAATTAATTCAAGTTTTAGGACCCTGGTTCTTTAGAGTTACACTCTCAAACTATACATATATTGAGCCACTACTATGTGACAGGCACCTATTGGGGTCTGGGAATGCAAAGGTGATTAAGACATGGTTCCTGCCACTAAGAGTTCACAGTCTAGAAGGGAAGACAGACATGTAAGGAACTCTTTGCGTTATGTGATAAACCTACGTGAGTTATACTACAGCACAGAAGAGACTATGAATGGACAGAGGCATTTTTACCTGGAGAGGAAAGGATGGAAGGAAAGAAGGACAGAATGAGGCATAATAAACTTTAAACTGTTGAAACTAGTATTAGGCCAGTTAACCCCATATAACACCATAGATTAATGAAATTCCAATACTTTTTAAGCTCAGTAGAGTTTAAAAAATAAAATTCAAGTAATAGAAAAAGAAACTTAATAGTCAGGGTATAGACCAGTGCTGTCCAATAGAAATATAATGAGACATAGATGTAATTTTAAATTTTTAGTAGCCACATTAAAAAAAGAAGAAAAAAACAAGAGAAATTAATTTTAATAGGATATTTTATTTAACCAAATATGTCCAAAATATTATCATTTTTGTTAGAATCAAGGCAAGCTAATAAAGGGCCTGAAATGGGATAGTGGCAGTGAGAATGGAATTGGGTAGATCCAAGTGGCATTTAGAGGCGAGATAGGCAGAAGTTGATTATTTGGGTGGAGAACAAGAGGAGCACCGGATGGCTTCAAACCCAACCAGGGTATTGCTTGAAAACTGGTCAATGATGCGTCCATTCACTGAGAAAGGGAACACAGGAGCAGGGGCAGGCTGGGTGCATACAGGGCAAGAAATAATAGTTGACTTTTAAAAGATGAGTTTGAGATGCCTGTAAAACCCGCAGCGGGTTCCATGTCCAAGGGCCAGTGATGTATGAGCACGGTGCTCAGGAGAGAGGTCTGCACCACAGGGAAAGAAGTGGGGATCATCAACACATGGGGAGCTGACGCCATGGGAGCATTGGAGATTGCCCAGAGAATCAGGAAAGTGAAAGAAGTGCCTAGGCAGAGCCCAGAGGAAAACCAACATTTAGGGGATAGGGATCCCTCACCAAAGACCAACCAAGAGTGGTCAGAGAAGCACAAGGAAACTCAGGAGAATATGGATCATAACAGCCACAAAGAGCTTCAGAAGGGAGACAGTGGTCAACGTCAGAAGCTGCCAAAAAGCCGAGCAAAGGAAGCAGAGCAATGTTTCCATAGAATTTGACAGCAAAGAGGTCGTGGGTGACTTTGATGTGAGCAGTTTCTACAGAGAGTGAAGATAGAAGTCACATTGCCACAGCCTGAAAATTGAGGGGGAAGTCTAGATAAGTCTTCAAGAGGTTTTCTGTCAAAGAGAAGATAGCTAAGGTGGTAACTATTGGACATCAAAAACGGTAGCTATTGGTATATTATGAGGGGAGGTTTTTAAGACAGAAGAGACGTAAGCATGTTTTAAAGCTATTGGAAAGGAACCGTTAAAATCATGCACTAGACTATTGTATTGATTTGAAAAGATGTTAACATTATATAGTTAACTGAAATCAGCTCGTGTCTGAAAAAAGTTTTTGATGTATGTGTGTAACTATATGTACACTAGATAGTATTCTGGAAGGACATACACCAAAGTGGTAGCCACATTTATTTCTGAGTAGGTACAATAAAAGGCTTTTAATTTTTATTCTTTTCCTTTATCTGTACTTTTTACTATAAGAAGTGTTGTTTTGTGATATAAAAATGGCAATAAGCTGGAGAATTCTTTTTCAGAGTCCCGCCTCCTCCGCATACTCTGGTCCTGAAAGTGTGTTGAAAATAGATTTTCTTCCAGTTTGATAAAATATATTGTAAAATTCCTGATCATGATTTTTCCAGGACCTGCCATCCTTGAGTCCGGGAAGCGGAAGAACCCTCACAGGTACCCCGGCTGCAGTAGGAGGTGGCCACTGTCTCAGCCAGCCACCGGCCGAGGGAACACCCCTTCCCATGGGGGGGCCGCCTCTCCCTAGACCTTTCCCTAGGGCCAGAGCAGAGGAGCGGACATCCCCAAATCTGAAACTTGGTGGGCAAGACTAAAAAGTACCTGAAGCAGGTGAAGTAACAACGATTTTCCCCACACCTACAGCACCATGCAGACCTTGACATGGGTCAGGCCCACCCCTCCCCCGCAGTGGTGACAAGCATCACCAGGTGATGGCTTGAGGTCATATGTTACATGTGTGAAAATGCATAATACTGCGTTTAAAAGGCCATTAAAGTGTCAATCCAAAATGGATGAAGGTACAGGTTGTGTGAAAACGGAAAGAACACAAGTCAGAGATCATCGCTATTTTACTTTTCTTTCCCTGTTTTCCTCTTCTTTTTTTCTTTCTCCTTTTCCTTCTTTTTACTGTCTATGTCAAAGCTGGTTTCTATCTTACATAAGCGATGACTTACAGTATCAGTTCTGAGAAGTACTTTGGAGAAATCTTCTTCTTTACAAAATGGAGACTCTAGCTGCCCTTGAAGATCCAAGACAGAGACAAAAAACAAATTGGGAGAATTCTAGTATTTTTCCTCTAGGGAAAAACAAACAGTGATAGAATACGGCCTCAATGTGTTAATTAACCTGATTGTGGTAATCATTTCACAAAGTATCTCTATGTCAAATCATCATGCTGTACAATTTAAATGTATACAATTGTATTTGTCAATTATACCTTCATAAAGCTGAAAAAATTAAGGAAAAACAAATGCTCGCTTCGGCAGCACATACACTAAATTTGGAACAATACAGAGAAGATGGGCATGGCCCCTGCACAAATTTGTGAAGCATCCCCTATTTTTTAAATGTCACAAGATGTAATGTACAGCATAGTGACTATGGTTAATAATAGTCTATTGTATATTTGAAAGTTGCTAAGAGAGTAGATCTTAAAAGTTCTCATCACAAGAAAAACTTGGAACCATGTGTGGTGATGGATGTTAACTAGACTTACTGTATATACAAGTCACATTGTATTTCACAATATATACAAGTATCAAATCATTGTGTTGTACACCTGAAACTAATATAATGTGATGTCAATTATACCTCAATAAAAGATAATAAATAAATAAATAAGAATATGGCCTCATAAAGTCGAACCCCAGAACATAAAGCTGACCTCAGAGAATCAGTCTGCACACGTGCAATCAAAATCGTATCCTACTGCCAACTCTTGCTTTTCTCACAATCACTCATTCACACGCACCTCACACACATCCTAAGTCGGGACCCACTGCTAAAGGGAAGCGAAGGTCCTGCTCCAGGTGAGGAGCACAAGGCAGCATGAACTGGGCTCCGGCCCTAACAGCCACCTCACCAGTGAGTTACTGAACTTCTCTAACCTTAAGTTTTCTCCACCAGCAAGTAAAAGAAGAGGTCCCACCTCAGAGTGGTAAGGATTGTTTTAGGTGATGTATTAAAGACCTCAGCACAGCACTTGGCAGGTTAGTTACCAGTTCTGGTTAAATGATGGCCATCAGACATACTCACACAATTACTTCTTTTTTGTGTGTGTGAGGAAGATCAGCCCTGAGCTAACATCCGTACCAATCCTCCTCTTTTTGCTGAGGAAGACCAGCTCTGAGCTAACATCTATTGCCAGTCCTCCTCCTTTTTTTTCCCCAAAGCCCCAGTAGATAGTTGTATGTCATAGTTGCACATCCTTCTAGTTGCTGTATGTGGGACGCGGCCTCAGCATGGCCGGAGAAGCAGTGCGTCGGTGCGCGCCCAGGATCCGAACCCCGGGCCGCCAGTAGAGGAGCGCGCACACTCAACCGCTAAGCCACGGGGCCGGCCCACAATTACTTCTAAATAAGGAAGTAAACTTAGAGTCACACCAATGACTTTTATTTCAGACTATTTTCAAGGTTGATGTGCAAGAAGGGTTGGTGAAGATGTGTGGGTGGCTCTTTAAATACCTTTCTTTACGTTGTCAAGAATTACTTTATTCTATTAAAATGCCTTTTATTCTTCTTATTCCCATAAAAGGGCAACGGAGCAGATCATGCTCTCAAGATGCCAGAGCAGTGGAGTATGACGCACGTTGTCTTGGGGAGCAGCGAACCAACCGCCCACTCCAAGTCCCTCGGCATCTGCAGACACTTTCACAGCTTCCACCCCTTGGCATGGTGAATCGAGACTCAAGAAACACAGCAGCATCTGTGGTCGTGATGTGGAAACAGTATTATTTGGGCCTTTTTTCAAACAGGGGGGCCATGTACGCCTCTCGGTGCTCTTCCTTCCTACAGCTCCTTCTCTCCTCCACCTTCTTGCAGGATCCTGTCTCCATCCTCAGGCATTCTCTTTCGTTTCTCTCCTGTCTGCTCTCAGGTCCCTGAAAGAGAAGAAAGGGGTAGAAATGTGCCGACAACCTTCCGCATATCTCCTAATTATCAGAAATGAAGAAAGCCCTGATCGGGAAGATTTCCACATCTTAGTGTCTACGAAAGAATTAGCATAAGCCTGAGGGTGTTGCTAAAGCTTTTAGTCCTAAACCAAAGGAACAGAGGGGCTTGGGCATCAACAGACGGTCTGTGGAGGAAACTCAGTCTGCACACGACTCCGACTCTCTCCCTCTGACGTAGGGAGAGGTGTGATTTCACCACACAAAAAAATTAACAGTCTCCCTGCGCTTTTTGAAAAGGATTGTGGCGAGTGAATCATACCAGGGATGATTCTAACCTGCCTGGGTCACTCCCTTCAATTCTACTAATAGTGGGGTTTGCACTAAGTTGCAGCGTGAGGACTGTATGAAGAATGCAGTGTCGATGAGGGACATCTGAGCACGTTGACACTCCCCACCAGGTTTCGGGGTCCACATTCACTGAGCTCTTGAACGCATCCTGTTGTCCTGGGATCCGGAGATACAGCACTAACTAGAGAGACCTGCCTTCCTAGATGTCACCCCTGGGTGCAAGAGACAGACAATCAATCAATAAGCCTAAGAGGAAACAAGAAAACACCAGGTAGTGATAAGTACAATGATAAATGTAAACAGGGTGACCTGATAGGGAAGTATGGGGAGGGGGCTTCTTTAGTTTCCACTGTCAGGGAGTGCCTTTCGAAGGAATTACAGACAACAGAATGGCATTGATAAATGTGGTGATTGTACCTATTTTCAATTCAGTTTTTAAAATAAACAAATAAAATCTTTACTCTCCCCCTGTCCCCATCCCACACTTGAACTGGAAAGGCCAGGGAACCCTGAGGGCCTGTCGAGTGAACACCTGCAGTGTGAGAGGCTGGCAGGGGAACAAGGTCATGAATCGAGCCTGCAGGGTGAGTTGTGAGGGTGTCTGGTTACTTTGGTGGGTGCCGTGACCACTTTACAGCATTAAAGTGTTTTATACCTAGATTGTTTTATTTCTATCTACAATGATCCATAGGCCAAAGACAGAAAGTAAAACAAATGATGAAGTTAAAATACGAGTTAGGAGGAACTAAAAAATTGCACCAGCTCTGTAAATGTGCCTCTAGATTATTTTCATTAGATCCACCAGTTGTATTAGATTCATCAGTCTGATCAAATTCATATTTAGCAGTCATGAAAGTCTCTAACACCTATGAGAATAGTATGAAAAAGAGAAAATATAGTGATGATTATTTCCAATTTGGCTTTTCCCTTATTGAGAATAAAGACTAGCTGAGAAAAGCTCATAAATAATGACCTGAAGTATTTTTTCTTATCTCATCACTTAGAAAGAAAATGTAAAATTATCAAAATAAACCAATTGAATTTTTCAGCATCAAAATGAAAGAATTTAATGTTGTTGGTCATGATCAAGTGACACAAGTAGTTTCTAGTTCTTCTTTTTTGTTTTTTTGTTGTTGTTGTTGTTGTTGAGGAAGATTTGCCCTGAGCTAACATCTGTGCCAATCTTCCTCTATTTTGTATGTGGGTCACCACCACAGTGTGGCTGATGAGTGGTGTAGATCCATGCCCGGGATCCGAATCCACGAACCCTGGGCTGCCAAAGTGGAGCATGTGGAACTTTAACCACCGGGCCATGGGGCCAGCCCCTTTAGCTCTTCTTGATGCTAAAAGACATAAAATTTAAATTGACATATTAGCATACTTTTGGCCGCCAAACAAAAGATAATATATGTCATTTTAAAATTTACTGACAAATCACACTTTTTTAATGTAGTTAGCTTTAGAAAAATGTGTTGATTGCTAAATAGGAAAAAGTTTTGAAGTATCTGTGTATGTTCTGAATTTTTAATCCTGCATTAAGATAAACTATATAATATACTCTTTAAAAACTGACATAAGATAAAATATTAAACTTAAAATTATTTATAATATAAAATGAAAAAAGATTTAAATGATTTTGTAAATTTCTAGCAGGTTTCTAGCTATTATATATAACTGTGAAAAGAGTTCTTGAGTCCGAAAAGTTGAAAACACTGCTTTGGTTATCTTGGCATTCAAAAAGAAGAACTTGGAAAATGAATAGAACAAACATAGTTTGTATTTTAGGGATAATGTGATGAATATCTTTTTAACTAAGAAAACTGATTTCATGTTTAGGGCTTATAATAATATTGACAAATGGTTTCATATCAGTGGTTATACAAGATGTTGTGTTGTTATATGAAATTTTTTCTGAGGCCATCAGAATCAACAAAGAACAATTCAGATTAAAATTTTTTTCAAAATATATTTATACCCTACCTTGTTCTGGAAAGAATTTAAGGCAGGTAAGTCTCCTGAGTTCTTGTAATTAATGACTTTAACATGTAGTTTTAAAACAGGAATTCTTCCACTTCCGTTCTATTCCTGCCGAAAGCTCATAATCCAAATCTAATCATGAGGAACTATCAGATAAACTGAAACTGAGCATCATTCTGAAAAATAACTGGGGGGCCGGCCGGTGGCGCAGTGGTTAAGTGCGTGCTCTGCTTTGGCCGCCCGGGGTTTGCCAGTTCGGGTCCCGGGCGTGCACCGAAGCACCGCTCGTCAAGCCGTGCTGTGGTGGCGTCCCAGATAAAGTAAAGGAAGGTGGACACAGATGTTAGCCCAGGGCCAATCTTCCTCAGCAAAAAGAGGTGGATTGGCATCGGGTTTTGTTTCTTTTTTTAAGATTGCCTTTTTTTTTCCTTATTTATTTAGTGTGTGTGTGTGTGTGTGTGTGCGTGTGTGTAAGGAAGATCAGCCCTGAGCTAACATCCATGCCAACCCTCCTCTTTTTGCTGAGGAATACTGGCCATGAGCTAACATCTGTGCCCATCCTCCTCCACTTTCTGTGGGACACCGCCACAGCATGGCCCAACAAGCGCTGTTTCGGTGCACGCCGGGGATCCGAACCCCGCCGCCAGCAGCAGAGCACACGCACCTAACTGCTGCGCCACGGGGCCGGCCCTGGCATGGGATTTTAGCTCAGGGCTGATCTTCTTCACTAAATAAATAAATAAATAAATAAATA